TTCCTGTATGTGCTGTTTTGGGGGAAGGCATAGCAGATCTTAAAGCTGGCCTTAAAATGCTTGTTAATGCTGAAACATCATATAAACTTTGCCTAGATCAAATTTTGCTTGCTTAGATAATTATTGAGAACTTTTTTTGCTTGTAATGGAAAGTATTTCTTTTTCTTTTTTTAAATTTCTTGTAATTGTAAGTCAAGAAGTTGGAAAATGTGATTCATACATGGTGTGATGTCCCTCACTCCGAGTAATCGGACCCTTTCTCCTTTTTAGTTTTATACTTCTTAGCTATGTAAAATTAGGATTAATGATTGTATTTGAGGTATTATTTGTTTTGAAATTATGAATTTCGATTTAGTTTTTTTTTAAAAGGTGTTTAACATAATTAAGTGAATAATATATATTTAAATTTTTTGATCTTAAATCTCAAGCCATGTGATATTATTTGGGGTATCAAAACAAGTTCTTGAGTCAAAATCTAAGGAGAATTAGGATTCATATATGGGAATGGAAAAAAGGGGTCTGAATATTTTTTATTCTCGTTTCCTTAGCCTTCAACATGGAAATGTAAAAGTGGTTTCAAAGATGAATTTTCATTCAAATTCTTAAAAATGACAAATAAACTTGTTTTTTAAGTATTGTTTGAACCTGTTTTGATTTTGACGAGAAATCTTCACATTAATCGAGTATGTACGTAGATAATATTTGATATTTAAAATTAAGTATTGAAATTAGATGAATGAATATGTACATATTTGTGTCTATGTCAGCGTACCTTGTGAACTTTAAACTACTAAAACACATTTAGTTTATTAGGTAATCTAAAAATATTATATTAACCTTTTTTTCCTAGTTTCCTAACTTATTTTTATGAGATACATTTAATATTTTTTTAGTCTTTTTTTTATAATTTGTATCGTATGCGCATTTAACCGAGTTCCTCCAATCGAGCTCCTCCAGGCTAGGCTCTTCAAACCCATCTCCTCTAGCCGAGCTCTTCGAAGTTGAGCTTTCCAAGGCTGAGTTCCTCTAGCTGAGTTTCAACACCGAGTTCCTCAGGATGAGTTCTCTAAGACCGAGATCCAAGACCGAGCTCCAAGATCGAGCTCCCCTAGGTTGAGCGCAAAGACTGATCACTCCGCAAAGAGCTCCTTTGGACGCTCACTCTGGATCGACCCGTTACAGCACGACTAAGTGGTTACAACATGGATGATCGGTCAGAACATGGTTAGATTAACAATGGTACTGACACATCAAGCTCTTAATGCAAATTAAGGTATGATTGGACCTTGATTAGATTGACAAAAAAGAAAAAGTCCATAACAACCACTATATATAAATGTCTGAGATATGACTTTAAGATAACATGCGCATAATATGCATTACAACATTGGTAGCTAATAGAATAGTCATCTATTGACTAACACCAAAGTACCTTCTACAGGTACCATACGAGCAAACTTTGGACAACGTTGAAAAGATGCCAGAAATCGAGCAATTGACGACAACCACAAGCCCGACCAAAAACTCACGAAAACATAATTATTTGACATTTATCTAATTTTTATTTAATATTTATACAATTTTCTTTTTATATTTAACCTTAAGGAAAGAAAATATGCATCATTCTTGATATTTGACATTGGAGAAAAAAATATATATAGTTTTAATACTTAATAATATTATGTTTTCTTTATTATGATTTTTAGTTATAAAAAAATTATTTCATAACATTGGGAACATTAAATGGACATATAGGAGGGCATGCAGGGCATGCATCACTGTGTGTTCCCTTATGTAAATAAGGATGGAATAAATTTTTTTCTTAAGAGTTAAGACAAAAATTAATTTAAATATATTTTCTCTCCTTAATCCTTTTAGGAGTTTTTCTAAAAATAAAACCAAAGTTCAAGCTTTAAATGGACAATACCGTAAACTAAGAGTGTCAAAATGGGTCAATATGGTCCGTTTATGCTTGGCACGACATTGGCCCACTAAAAACAGGTCGGGCCTAACTAGCTTGTCGATTGAAAATGAGTAGAATTTTAAAACCCCACTCAGCTCGTTGTCAGGCTACCGACTAGCCCGCCTGTTTTTTCTTCTTTTGCCATCGAAAGTCTAATATCACATGGAAATGGGTTGGATTTTTTTTGTTTTTTACATGAAAATGAGTTGATGACGGACAGTCGGGTTGAGTCTAGGCTGAAATGGACTACCATCACTAGTACACCAGGATGATATAACACCGGTTAAAATTGGTTATAGGCACCGGTTCTACAACCGATGCATAATCAGACGGGGTAAAAAAATATAGGTTTTATGCCTCGGTCATGAACCGAGACAAAAGTGGTAAGATTATGCTCCGGATTTTAAATAACCGAGGTCGTAACACCTTTTTTTTTTTTAAATTTAGGTAACCCAGTTCAGTTCAAGCAGAGGATTTGGTGACCGAGATTCACAAAAAACAGAACCCAGAAGCGCAACCCATAACCCAGAACATAACCCAGAACAGCAACCTGCAACCCAAAACAACAACCCAGAACCACCATAACAGCAACCCAAAACCCAAATCGTGCCTCCATGATTCAATCTTCTCCACCCCAACCTGCACAGAGAACCCAGAAACTCAAAAATCGGAGAAACGGAACTCAAATTGCAACAACCAAACTCAAATCGCAGAAGCCAAACTCAAATCGAAAAAACCAAACTCAAATAACAGAAACTCAAACGGTAGAAAACATAGATGGTGAGGGAGATCGAGGAATTTTCGCTGCCGCCGCGTCCTCGCCGTCGCCGCATCCTCGCCGTCGCCGCGTCCACCGTCGTTTCTGTCTCGTCGAAAACCACCGATCTCGCGGCTGTGCTGGCTGTGTGGGTGTTGTCGCGCGACGGGATCTAGACTCAAGGACGTTGGGGTCGTTGTCGCCCGTCGGAGATCTCGTCCATGGAGTGGGACAAGGCCGCAGTCGGAGAAGGCGATGTCGCTGGTGGCGCGTTCGGGGACGACGCGAGAAAGCGATGGAGGGAGTGGGAGGGAGGGAGTCAGATCTGGAGGAAAGGAGGGAGAGTGAGGGAGCGAGGGTGGGGAGGAAGAAGGAAAGGAGGGAGAGCGAGGGAGCGAGGGTGGGGAGGAAGAAGGAAAGGAGGGAGAGCGAGGGAGCGAGGGTGGGGAGGAAGAAGGAAAGGAGGGAGAGCGAGGGAGCGAGGGTGGGGAGGAAGAAGGAAAGGAGGGAGAGCGAGGGAGCGAGGATGGGGAGGAAGAAGGAAAGGAGGGAGAGCAGGGAGCGAGAGTGGGAGTGAGATCTGGAGGAAGAAGGAAATGAAAGGTTAGTTAAGATACGTGCATATGACTCGGTTCTCTCTCACCCGAAACAATACATGCGTATAGGTCTCGGTTCTACACCTGACTGAGGCATATAGTCCTCAGAAAAAAATGAAAAAAAAATATAAAATGACTATATACCTCGGTTTCTGTTTAAACCGAGGCATAAACACTGTTTCGTAGCTTTTAGGCTTCGGTCGTTGCTTTAACCGAGGTAATATGCCACCGTATTTTAATAGGCTTTGGTTTCACCTAAACCGGTGCCTATAACGCGAGTTTAAAACCAATTTTTTTACTAGTGCATCTAGACTATTTTAGGTCTTGGCTGAGCTTATATCAAACCTCAATTGAGTTATATCAAACATTGGCCGAGTTGTACCATATCTTGGCCAAGTTGTTGGTTTGTGTTAATATGAAGTGTCACGGTATGTCTTCACATTTTTTTAATGAAGTCAGGTCGACCTAACTAACCCTCAAGGTTGGCATGCTAGATTGTCGTGCTTGGCTAGCTAGATCGGTTCATGTTCCCGGGTTGAAACCATTGTCTTAGTTTAGATTGTATGACTCGTCGGTAAGTTGATTCGCTAAGCTTAACTTTTGTCATCCCTAAGCCATTATTTAAATTTAAATTTATATCAAATTTCAAGTAAATTAATAATCATCTATTTTTATTAATTAAAACATTTCTTTTAATCTATTACATCATTCACAAACTCTCAAAAACTTTCCCTTCAAATCATCTATTTATTCAAATCACTTAATCCAAAAAAACATCATAAATATGCTCTCAAATTCATCCAATTCTAATCTAAATACTAACTAAATGTCCAAACCCAAACGATAAATTAAGGGAAAGTATGTTTTTAATTTATAAGATAACATTTATTTTTAAAATAATTGAATTTAATCTTTTCATATTTAACTTATCATTTACGTTTAAAGAAAATACTAAATTTACATATGTTTATTTACAAATTTAAAGAACAACACATCCACTTGAAAAATATAAAAAATAAAATGCAATTTGAAAAAGAAAGTATAATAATAAATAAACATTACGTTTTCCTGAGAAGAACACGTGAGGCAGCATTCTCCAAATTCCAAGCTAAACTAGTAACTTCCTGGTGTCTGTCCACTTGTTTCTTCCTCAATTTATTTCTTTGTCAACAAAGTCAGGAGTTGACTTGGTCTGCAAAAAACTTGTTTCAATCAAATCATAAACTCCCCATTAACACTTGGAACTTTCTCCCTTGGAATTTACTCAGCAAGGAGACAAATTTCCGAACACGACCAATTAAAACCTAGTCCCCCCACATTTCATTCTCAAGGGTGGTTTCGACTTTTCCAAAAAATATTCCAACTTAATAAAAAATGTCTCTAAAAACAAGTATATGAGTACGGCTAACTATACAAAATTTCTTCACTATAATACATAAAAGAAAAAAATATTTATTTTATTCGAGAATACCATAATTAACAAAAATGATACATACCCCGTTGTTTACATTAAAAATATCAACTAATAAATTTCAATAAAAAGTCTTGGTCGTTATAAATCTTCTTTAATAAACTTTTTTTATTCTTAATATAAATATGGTAAATACAGAGAATAAAGCAGTGTTGAACGAGTAATATTATAATTGTATAAAAGGATTGAAAATTCTTTCCAACAGGACTGAAACTTCCTCGTAAGACAAGTTCCTTACTCCGTCAACTTTCCAAACCACTTATGTTGTAATAGCGGCTCATATTCAAAGGCGCAGGAAAGTGCTTCACCATTAAAAAGAAGCAACCTCTTTCTTTCTCTCTTCTTTCTCTCACGTTTCCCAAACCTCATAATATTTAACTCTTTTCTTCTTCCTTCTCTTCAGCCCACCATTTCAGAGCATCACCAATCTTGTACATACATTCTTTTTTATCGTTTAAACAACGAACCATAAATCACGATGTCAAGAACAGTGGAAGTAACAGTTTTATCCGCGGAGAATCTCCAAATGAATAAAAAACCTTTAAGAGGAAACACATTCGTGACGGTTCACTCCGACGCCAGCACCGACGCAGGTGCTGTCACGAAAGTGGATTCAGAGGGTGGAAGCTACCCTTCGTGGAATGAGAAGGTTGTGGTGAACGTGCCGTTGCATGCAAGGTTCATAACGGTGGAGGTGAAGTCCAAAACGTCGTCGTCGTCGACGGGGTCTAACAGTATTGGCGTGGCACGAATACCGATTTCTGATTTCATCGGAGGGTACGTGCCAGAAAATCAGCTGCATTTCTTGAGCTACAGGTTGTGGGACGGTAACGTTAGGAGAAATGGGGTTATAAATATTTCGGTGAGGGTAAAAGTACCGGAACGTTCTTCTTGTAGTTCCAATTCTATGCCATTTTCGGCGGTAACTGGGGTGCCGGTGGCCGGTAATGGCTCCACTGGAGTTGTCACAGGATTTCCAGCTCTTTGGTTAAACTACCAAAGAAATCTCTGAAAATGTAAAATTGATTTATTTGATATTAGATTGCTCCAATTTAATATGCAATTATATTAGATTGTGTTGTCTCTATAGTTTCTACAAAAAAATCTTTGAGGCATTCAGTTCGTTATGTACTGAAAAAGGAAAGCCTTATTCATTGTTTTTCCTTATTGATTTGCTGTAGAAAAAAATGTGAGGGACAAACAGCGTGAAGATTCAAGAGGATTTGCGAAAAAAAGAAATCCATAAATCATCTGTCTGACAAACTGTTAGTCTCTATGAATGTGAAACTTTCCATATTTTGTGCACTCAATTATGATAAAAATTCAACTATTAAATTGATTGATATGAACTTAATTTTATTAATATTTCAAATGTACAAACAAAAAGGAAGAAAGAAGTAAAAATGGTTATGATTTTCTTGGATGTTTAGTATGTAGGAAAAACCAGTATCATCACTCGTTTCATGTATGACAAATTTGACACTGTACTGCACCTCAGAATTACCAACATTTTGTATATATGTTGTGGACTTCTTTGTTACTTCAATTGTAAAAATTCTTGATGTGTTTATTTAAAATCAATCAGAGTTAGGTCCGTGAAACTTGATGTATTTATTTAAAATCTTTATGCTACATATAACAGCAGTACATGATTCCTTCATCATTTAATAATTTTCTAACCTTATTCCCCACAAGAACCTCTGATGTTTCCTTTTGTCTTGCCTATGGTGACGCAGGTAGACAACTATACCTTGTGATGCTTCCCTTCATTTATTAACTTCTATTTTGTGCTTCTGGATCATAATGATAAATAGCTAACAGAGTTACTCAAATAAAATATGGGTCGAAAACATCTTTATTTTGGACAAAAGCAAAATACTTATTTTCCACATCTTAGGAAGCAAAAATTCTTCTTCTTTTGGATTCTTTATCTGAGTATATGATAAAGTGAGAGAATAAAAGCACTCCTATAACTTTGTCTGGGCTTATCTGTGTCAATTATCAGACATATATTGTCGATAGCCATGACTTTTGTCAGAAATGTACTTTTAAGTTTAACTTAATTTCACACAAAACCGGCTTGTAAATGTTTGTAGGATGAGGTTTGCACCAGTTATAAAATATGAATTTATCTTATCTCTAGTGAAACGTGGAACTTCCAACAACTTTGTCTAAATTTAACCTTCTCTAACACCTGGCTGCATGCAGCATGCTGTCCAAAGTCACTTTGGTTTTGACTTCTGTTTATTGAAGTATAAAATCTCTACTATTGGAGCATTTTTTCAAAACATCACTGGATACCTGCATAAATTTCATGGCATTAACTCTCTTGTTGCAGCGTAACTGATTGACTAATTAGTAGCTTGCTCATTGCTCAGCAGTTAAGATATGGTAACAGAGAAAATGTCTCTGTTATTACCAATAGCTCAAACCCAAAAAAATAAATTTAAGGAAAATTGTTTTTAATTTCTGTAATTTCAAATATATGAATCATACTTTTACTTATAAAAAAATTTAATTAATCTTTTATGTTTAAACTTATGATTGACAATTTTTCACTGCTATGATACTAAAGAAAAGACTAAACTTACACGTTTTTATTTTTAAAGTTAAAGAATCAATAAATTTCAAAAAATTAAAGAATAGACTAACCTTTTTTCACAAAAAAACCTTTATGGTTTCTTCTGTCTGTTGCCCTGTGATGCAGAGATACAGTTGTACATGCCATAGAAAAATAGACAGTTGTTTAGAAACTTATTTGTTGCTCTCATTGTTTATGAAGATGCAAATATGAAATTTGTGTTGTTTTCCTTCATTTATTACTTTTTATTTCTGTTTCTCAAATTATGTGAAATATAAAAAACACTCATAAAAATTTATTATTTTAAGTTTTTTTCTTTTGTTAGAAATGGTGTCAACATCTTACCAGAATTTGATTGTCTTATTGTAGTCTCTTCTTACGTTAGCAAAGAATAACAAGCTTTATTTTGCTATCATGATTTTTCATATTTGTTTGGAAATCTAAGTTCAGATGATGATTAGCAATTCATTATTATTTTTTATTTGAATTACAAACTTTAGAAAAATTCGTTTTTTTTCATCGTGAATTAAATATTCTAATATCCGTTCAATTATAGCATATTACATACATATTCACTCCACAATCACTATTTGAGCTTGTTTGGAAGATATTAAAGCATTGCTCTTGTTATTTTCTCGAGTTTTCGATATTTGGAACTCTTGATGACTTAAGGTATTTAGATCAAAACCTTATTAAAAAAGAAAAAGAAAAGAAAAGAAAAGCATTCGTTATCTTTCATTAATTTTTCTGTAATTTTGTTTGCAGAGGTCAATTTTCATCTCGGTATGATACTCATTTAATTTCTTTGTCATCATACTGACATTAATTGAAGTAACGACTACATTTCCCTTTGATCTACCTTCTGAGTTGTTTTTAACATACAATGAGTGTATCAGTATCAAACGAACACTATAGAGACGTTTCAACACTGTCATTAAGTTTGTATGATTAGAGATATAAAATGTAATAATTGTTTGAATACAATGGAATGGGGTGATTGCCATAGTATATGATACACAAAGTATGCCATTACTACTTATTCAATATTCAAAAGGTGTTAGCCAAAGGTAGAGACGTTGACTATGAGAGTTGGTTGACCTTTGTGCACCTAACAGAACTAAATTGTTCTGAATGTGCTATGTGAAGTGATTTAGGAGAAACGTTAGGTTCTTCTGCACTTTGATACATAACCCTACAGCTAGGTATCTTCTTCAGTTCTATTAAATATTACAGATATAGTGGATTACTGTTTTTGAATACAGTAATCTTGTTAGGTTTAGTTATTCTGTTTTCTGTTTTCCGTTTCCGTTTTGTATTCCCTTCCCTCTTGAACTCTATAAATAGAGTTTTCCCTCTCACCAACAGTTGTAATTTTTCACGCTCATTTCAAATAATAACATCAGTTTTTTCCTTTCTCCTAAATCAAGATGAGAGTTAGTTCACTAACCTGATTACCCGTACTCTTCTGGTCTTCTTCCTTGCCTCCGGTGAAGGTAGCGCTTTGCTCCGGTGAAGAGTCTCCGTGAAGCCCTAGAACCTTCCTCTCCTCACTCGATGCCTTCTGTCACACACTGCCTTTCTGATCTCGAGGCAGCTTTCAGCATATAACAAAAGCTTCCTGCGTTTTGGGTTTATTTGATGCGTTTTGGGTTAAAGGCCATTGGGCCTATTATTTTCTGATGTGGCCCATTCTCTTTAAGTTCTCACTTGGTTTTGCTATGAAGCCGTCACATGATGTCGAGCTTTGTAAAGAGAGCATGAATAATATCCATCAAGTTTTCGTAAAATGTTTCAAGGTGTGCATCACAGGGAATGACAATGCAGAATGTTAGAGTCTTGCAGACTAATAATCACGTTTTAATAAAACAGGTAGGTTATATTGATTTCTTAATAAAACTGTGTTTTTTAAAAAAATTCTCCTTTAAAAGTCTAACTTAACAATACTTTAAGATACTAACAAAGAATAAAAAGTAGAAAAAGATAAATTCACACAATTTTTTATACAGATTAAAAGATCCTACATTATTAAACCCTCTAAAGAGATTAATCAATCATTAAAATAAACTGAAACTAAGTAGTTTAAAATTTAGAAAACATTTCTCTTAAAGACACAAGAGATGAAAAATTCACAAGGAATGAATCATCACCTTTGAGTCATAAAAGATGAACAATTTTTCTAACAGTAGAAATACTCAATCATCCAAGAACACATTTAATGAAAGTTATTCCTCTATCTATACTATGATTTAAAACAAGTTCTTTAAAATTCGAGATGAATAAATTAACTTTGGTTAATAGAAAAAAAAATTGTTAATATACGAAATATATTTATAGATTTTTATAGAAAACAAATATATTTATTATACAGAGTTGCATAATTCGAGTTGCATAAATGGTTTGGGCCATCTGAGCACTTTTTCAACTAAGGTTGTTTCTTCTTTCATCCCATTAAATTATTTCCTGCACTCCATAAGCTTCCGGAAATTTGATCCGGAATAGGGGTAGATGGTGGGAATTCACTAACCAGATTTATGTGTTCTGTGGAGCTGTAATATATACTTGTGGAGAAGGAAAGTCGTAATACTATTCATAAATGTCGTTGGGAAATTCATGTATTTGGTAGAGTGCACGAAGAATTTGATGGGTGCAGAAAGAAACACCTTCACCTAATAATAATGGACATGCAAATTTGTGAGAATTTGGTAATTTCTTTTTACACCCCCATAGATTTTATGTACACTCTATGGGAGGGGTCAAAAGACCATACTACCCCACATGATGCAACAAAAAGAATTTTCCTTCAAAATAGAAGAGGGTTTGATCTTCTTGAGGGTGCAATGCCCAAAACACCAAAGGGTTTTTTAAATAACACAAGGAGGTATGGCTGAAGATTAAATATAAAGCCTGTACTCGACTTCATATTTATTTTCTACCCCTTATACTATTATAATATAATACATCAATAATATTATAAAACCTTTATTATATTATATATTATCGAATCATTTTAGAATTTTTTTAAAGTATTCTAAAATAAAGTTTATTAAAATGTTCTTAGAATTTACAATTTGGACAATAAAAAAGCTGGTGATATATTATACATTCTGATTAATATATATATATATATATATATATATATATGTATATATATATATGTATGTATGTGTATATATGTTTGAAATGTATAATTTAGAAATTTTTAATACACTTAGAGTAAAAATTTTATAAAACTTAAGAACTTTAAAAAGTTATTTTCGAATTAAAGAAATACAGCAAACAATTATGAAAATTGAGAAACAAAAGCCGAAACTGATCATGAAGCGATCTTTGCTTTTTTAATCGTGCTCTCTTCTTTGTTAAGCATAAAACACATTAAAAATATATTTATCATATAATAAAATATAGGTTAAATTATTTCGATGGTTCCACTTTTGCATTAAAGTCGCAAATTAGTATTTCAATTATTTTTTTGTTTTAATTTAATTTC